CAGAATTTCAGAAATGTTTCCATAATTGGCGAGATACAAGATGTTTGCTGTTATTATAAACATTTGATTCAAAGTAATTCATGTTTTTTTTTAATTTTATTCAATGAAAAACTGAGGTGAGGTTGACCTATTTTGAATTTTTTCAATAATACTAGTGTTGTTCATAGCATTGTTATGAACAACATGTAATCTTATGTACGTCCTTGTACATGTTCCATTCCATGTGTTGGGAAATAGTTCCTCAATGATCTCCTGTTCAAAGTTACCTCATGTTGCCAATTCTGATAATTCAATCTGTGTATGAACTCTTTTCGTTACTTGAAAAATCATAAATCCAATAAAATCTTAATTTGAAGGCAAAACTGGAAAATAAGGCCATCCATCCTACCGTCAACATTGAACAAATGGATCGCGATAAAACGAACATATTGATAGTACTAGGAACAAATACAGGTATATCGTCGAAAATGAATGAATAATAAACAAAAGCATAGTAAATATTGACAGAACTCTGATGATTTTTCAATTGTTTTGATTGTACGTTGGAACGAAATCGAGAGACAGTTATGTGGAGTCCAATAAAAATGAGTATTGCGGTGAAAATACGCTGATTGGTGTGACCATATATCCAGATCAGTTTGTGCCAGGACTTTTCATCATGAAGATGGAATGGTTAGTGGGTTGCCGACTTTGTTTCCTGGTTATAGCGATGCTGCAGCTTTCTGAAGGTAAGACATTCATTCCTTGAAAAATATCTTTATATTTTTTGCATGCTCCTAATTTAAATAAATTCTTATATGATTCTATTTTTACATTTTAACACTTCTAACATTTAAGATTTTGACATCTTTACATTTTCATAACCTAAATTGTCAAATCCATTTTACTCTCACTGGTCTGATTTATTATGTGAATATTGTGAATAAAACAATAATACCCACGCACAGGGTGTCTTTTGTGGTTTTCCCGAATTTGTTCAGATTGTTCAAATTGTTATTCACTGATCATTATACTGAAAATTGGATAAATTCATATATCATTATTATTTTCATTATATACGAGAGTGACTTCAATTCTCTAGCTTGGCCAAGAATTCCTGACTGCTACCTAACTATAATCCAATTATTAGATTCATTCTGTATACTGATTTGTGACTAACTACTTCTCGAAATTCATTGAATGATTATTACACATGTATATTTAACTAACCGCTACCTTTTCTAGCTTGTCTCTGTAGGTTAACAAAGAATTTTGTACAAAACTTAACCTCAAAAATAACTCGTTCATAGACGGTTTCGACCTACTGAATTATTATCTGAGTTAATTTTCGCACTACACTGCTCGATTTCCGTTCGAACCTTTCACACTTCTTCATTACTACGACAGAATAAAAAATTATTCAAAATTTTGCCAACCACCTGTTTTCAAATGTCAAACTCTTTAAAAATTCACCCCAGGAAAACTATCTCCCAAAACAAAATAAAATACCGCTCGTGGCCGGCCCTAAACCGCGGCCGACCGTCGGGTCGAGAAAACCCTTCAAGCTCCAAGTTCGCGAGCCCTCCTCAATGTCGAGAGAGACTCACTTTCAAAAAATTCCCCACACCAACGGTTCAACGGAAAACCCATATTTTGCTCAGCTTGCAATCTATAGATTTCAAGGTTTGGACTGATATGTGTGTCTGTCCGTTTGGTGAATTCCGATGAGTAAGGATTTTTCATCACGGTGCGTCTGGCCACAAACTCCCAGATGGATTTATATAAACGTTCTCGTGGCTGGTTGAGATGTTATATTGTATGAGACACAGGACCCGCGTTTAGAATTCTGAATCGAAAGAAATCTATCTATTCCCGAAGCTAGAATAGATACTAACATACATAACTTTTGCTAAGTATTACAGAGTCCTCGACTTCTGATAGAAGTACTAGAATACTGGTCTCTCAACACCTGGTTCACCACCTTGCCAGAAAGTTCCTATTATAAATCATCCATACCGAATACTTTCAAATAACCAGGCACTACCAGCTTACTTGATTTGAGAAACCCCAACCTAACCTGCTACTTTGACACCTTCGATCGTAAGAAACCTTACAGGTTTAAGTTATTTCAGTAAGCTACCCCTAAAAGTATGCATATGAACACCTACAGATATCAATAACTGAATTTATGGAAATATCCAGTTTTGCTCTGATAGAACTTGATTCTAGAACAATACCATCAGGTTTGAACATTCATATTTGAAGCAGTAAAGCTATGAGAGCATGACTTCAGTAATTAATTTTTCAGGAGCAGTAATGATGGAGTGATTTAAGCCCCCTTATTAGCAACCCCAAACTCAATACAAAGCTAATTTCAACCAACTGCAAGTTGCAGAGATTACAGCCACTTGCCTGTATGGGGATCACAGGAGAAATTTCTACTTGTTTTTACATACAGCACTGCATCTCTAGAACATTCCATTTTCATGACAAAAACTCAACAGCATCAGGGAGGCTGCTGTTTTCACGGAAAAAGAAAGAATATACGTCATTCTTGCTTGAAATCTGTCTTTGAACTGTCTGAAAGCCACTTGGAGATAGATTTCAGATGATGAAATTCCTAGTATCCTCTGATATTAAGGAATCTTCGGAAATTTGATCAATTGAATGAAATGAATAAAAACACTTTTGTCTAAATACCACTGGTAAATTTTATTTATACAACCGGTTTCGGGTTTGACCCCATTATCAAGTATAAAACTGAAATCTGAATTTTGAAATATCAATTTTTTTAGAATTTTCAGGTATGCTGCAAGGACAGGTATTTGAGAGACAGGATGCCATTAAAATACCACCCTGAAAATTCTAGAGGTTGTTAAACTCATAAATTCAAGAGAGGAAACCTACAAAATCAAATTGCTCGTTTAGGGAAATATATTTCTGGTTTTTAATTGATTTGTTAATTTCCATGGCCTCCAACTGATTCATTTTTCTTCCTTTATTACATATATGTAGGATTTTGAGGTTATCTTCATTTTTCTTGTGGTTTAATTCTTGAAGATGTTCGTACATTGCTGATTTTTTGTCCAAACAGACGTGTTCACGCAGTCTTATTTCAAAATTTCTACCGGTTTGGCCTGTACATACTGCAATGCATTCGCCATACTCTTTCTATATATACCTGATTTTTTCATTCTATCCCGTTTGGGTTTTGCATTAAACAGGGTTCTACCTGTGAAAGCTGTTGAAATTTTGTATTTGGAGAAATAATTTTGAATATTTTCTGAATAATTGATGCTACTCTACTTGACTATATTGTGTTCTCGACAGTTTGGGTATAATTTACTCATAAGTGTTTTGTGAGTTTTACCTGATATTATCTTTTCTATTAGGAAAATTGGTACCTGATTGTTCACTGCAATTTGCTTAATTATTTTTATTTCATCTTAGAAATTCTTTTCCGGTAAAGGGATTGCGAAAACTCTGTGTATCGTTGACCTAAACGCGGATAACTTATGTGAGAGCAGACTGAAAGAGTCAAAGGGAATTGTACAGTATGTGAACGTGTTTTTCCGGTAGATATTGAATTGAAAACCATTATTAACTCTTGAAATATTCAAATCTAAGAAGTTAAGCTCCTTGTTTTGTTCGATTTCTACTGTGAACTTAATTTTGTTATG